TAAAATATCCTAAAATCATTAGAACAGTGTTATATATTATGTTGACTTGTGGATTTACATTATCTCAAATGTTTCCAAGAATGTTTTGAAATTATTGCTTTGTTTATTTTAAAATATTGCTTTGTTGTGCTCTTTCATTTTAAAGAAAGAGCAGTTTCTGTCCCTAGAAAGAAAGAAAAAAACAAGTTGATTATCTTTTTTTTATGCAATGACTGTAGTTGTAAATTGAACTATATACTTTCATATGGACATATGCTGCTGTGTGGTTTATTTAGCTGTGGTTAATGAAACAGAACTTCTAATATCCAGCATGCCAGAGCGAATTGCAGAGGTTATGAAGAACAAGGGTCAACACTGTAAATATTGACTCATTTTATTTTGCCAATAAATGCCTTTAAAACTTATGATATGCTTATCATTGTTTTTCAGTATACCATAGAAACATATGGAAAAATAATCTACAAATACTGAAGCAGCAAACTTTTCAAAACACAAAATTTATGTCACTGCCAAAACTTTTGGCCATGACTGTATCTATTTCAAATGGGTGTACCGCAGTTGTTTTTTGTTCAATTCCAACAAATCATTCATTATTTAAGTTTTTTTTTAAACCTAAAAAAACAACAATATAGATTATAAAATATCCAAGTTCAGCTGTTTTGAAACAGTCCATAATAACCAGTTGAATTGGTAATAGGTGAGGGTATTGTGATTGGATGTAAAAGGGGCATCTCAGTCTTTGCCAGCACAAATGGGTCATGGTCCAAATTTTATGAAAGAATTGTCAGACAACCTCTCAGGGCAAAATTGAGACCTTTCACCATCTGCCATGAATAATATTGTGAAAAGATTCAGGGAAAGAGAAATCCCAGAGAAATATTTTTAGGATTATGTGTAGGTCAAGCAGGACACCTCAGTTGAATGTGCCTGATCTTTGTGCATTAGAAACTGTCATGCTGCTTTGTTAGTTATAGCTACATGGGCTCAGGAGTAATGTGGAAAACTAGTGTCACTTAACATACTCTACCGCTGCATGCAAGAAGTGCAATCTCTGCTACACAAGACTTTATTATGTTTTTCTCTGCTCATTGAAGAGCTGCAGGTGCGAGGTGTGACCATGTGAATCTTCATGTTCTTTTGTTTGCTCCTTTTTGTGCATGTAAAATTAATCCCTGGAAAACAAGTGTTAGTATTTTTAACGGGTCACAGACACTTATCCTTCCTAATTTAATTCAATTCTTACTTAAAATAAACTTGTCGGTTAACGGTTAATAATCAGTTAACGAGCGTCGGTTAGGGGAAATAACCGAAATGAACATCCCTAGTCTGAGCTCATCTTAGATTGTCCAAAAGACAGTGGAAATGTGTGCTGTGGTAAGATGAGTCCACATTTCAGCTTGTTTTTGGGAAAAATGGACATCAGAGTCCTAAAGAACCATCCAGACTTTCATCAGCGACAAGTGCAAAAACAAACGTCTATCATGGCATTGGGGTGCATCAATGCAAATTGCATGGGTGACTCATATGTGTGATAGTACCATTGACATAAAGGCATATACTGGGATTGTATACATATTTTCCTACAAGATGACATATTTCATGGGAAGTCCATGGATATTAGCTGAAGACAATGCCAGGCCTCATTCTGCATGTGCTACAACAGCATGGTTTCGTAGACACGTGGATGTGACTGACTGGCCAACAGATCTGTCTCCTATTGAAATGTATAGCCCATCATGAAAAGGAGAATCAGACAAGATGATGTGACACAGTGGTAAACATGCCTCTGTCTAAACATTTTTGGATTGTGTTGCAGCCATCAAAATCTAAATTTGTTTATATTCACAAAATACAATTAAGTTAATCAGTGAAAACATTGAACATCTTTTCTTTGTACTTCAGTTATTTAAATAAAGGTTAAGAATGAACAATCACATATTTTTTATTTAACTGCACTTTACAAAATGTCCTAAATTTTTCTGATAATGGACTCATATGAGATGAGATCTGAGATGACGCTCGTTGGCTTCTGCATATAATTGATGTATAGATTTCTTCTTGTGTAGCAGAGATTGCATTTCTTGCATGCAGTGATTGACTATGTTAAGTGTCACTGGTTTTCCATAGTACTCCCAAGCCCATGTGACTATATTTAACACAAATTTATTTTGCATGACGGTTTCTCATGCAATGCAATCTGAGGGCTCAAAGGTCACACACATTAAATGGAGGTTCCTTGCCTTTCCCGATACAGACTGAGATTTCTTTGAATTCCCTGAATCTTTTCACAATATTATTCATGGTAGATGGTGAAAAACCTGAATTATTTGCAATTTTGCATTTAGAAATTTAGATTTTTGATTTGTCTGACAATTCACTCATGGAATTTGGCACAAATTAATGAGCCATGATCCATCTTTGCTGGCAAAGATTGAGATCCCCCTTTACACCCAATCACGATCTCCTTACTTATTAACAATTCACCTGCTTATTGTGGACTGTTTCAAAACAGTTTAACTTGGATATTCATATTCACTTTTAGTATGCCCAACTTTTTTGTGTGTTGCAGCCATCAAAACTTGTTTGTTTATAAAATACATTTAAGTTGGTCAGTGTAAACATTGGACATCTGTTCTTAGTATTTTTTAATTAAAGGTTAAATAGAATTAACAATTCGCCTATTATTGGTTTACTGCATTTTACAAAACATGCCAACTTTTTTCTGATTTGGGGTTGTATCTGGTTCATAATTTTTGCAATCATATTACTAAAATTTTGAACATGTTGCAATCCTGAATGGTAAAATGTAGCTAAACCCTGCAATTTGTGCCTGTAATATTTAAAAATAATAATTGGATGGTAAATGTACACAATTCAAATGAATGAATTCAAATTTTCATTCTTTCTACTATTATATCAGGGTTTACATGTCCTTTTCCTTTCACATTTCTCTCTTTAATGGTTTTCTTTTATGCTTTGCTGGAAACATTTTGAAGTTTTGTACATTCATTTTAGACCTGATAGAAGAGAACAAGGAGATTGAAGAACTGACTGAAGTGGAAGAGAAACATCATGTAAAAACTGAAGAAACATCCTCAAGTCCCTCATTGAAAAGAAGAGATGAAATCTGTTTCACTTGCTCTCAGTGTGGAAAGAGTTTCTCATGCAAGCAAAGTCTTGATATTCACATAAAATTTCATCTTGAAAGGTTTTCAGATGACCCGAAGGACCACCTGAAAGTTTATACAAAGGAGAAGCCTTATGTATGTAATTTATGTGGAAAGAGTTTTATTCAGATGAATGCATTTAAAATGCACCAGATAAGACACAGCGGTGTGAAGGATCATGCTTGCTCTGAATGTGGGAAGACTTTTTTTACAGATGGTGCACTGATGAATGAATTCAAATTTTCATTCTTTCTACTATTATATCAGGGTTTACATGTCCTTTTCCTTTCACATTTCTCTCTTTAATGGTTTTCTTTTATGCTTTGCTGGAAACATTTTGAAGTTTTGTACATTCATTTTAGACCTGATAGAAGAGAACAAGGAGATTGAAGAACTGACTGAAGTGGAAGAGAAACATCATGTAAAAACTGAAGAAACATCCTCAAGTCCCTCATTGAAAAGAAGAGATGAAATCTGTTTCACTTGCTCTCAGTGTGGAAAGAGTTTCTCATGCAAGCAAAGTCTTGATATTCACATAAAATTTCATCTTGAAAGGTTTTCAGATGACCCAAAGGACCACCTGAAAGTTTATACAAAGGAGAAGCCCTATGTATGTAATTTATGTGGAAAGAGTTTTATTCAGATGAATGCATTTAAAATGCACCAGATAAGACACAGCGGTGTGAAGGATCATGCTTGCTCTGAGTGTGGGAAGACTTTTTTTACAGATGGTGCACTGAAAGTGCACCTGATAGTTCACACTACAGAAACGCCTTACAAGTGTTCACACTGTGACAAGAGATTCAAACGGTCAATATATATGAAAAGACATGAGAGAATCCACACTGGAGAGAAGCCGTACACATGTGATCAATGTGGGAAGAGCTTCAGACTAAAAGGAATCCTTAATGATCACATGAAAATCCACACTGGAGAGAAGTCTCACACATGCGATCAATGTGGAAAAAGTTTTGCACAAAAAGGAAATCTTAAAGAACACATGAAAATCCACACAGGACTGAAGCCACACACATGTGATCAGTGTGGGAAGAGTTTCAGACTAAAAGGACTTCTTAATGATCACATGAATATCCACACTGGAGAGAAGCCGCATACATGTGATCAGTGTGGAAAGACTTTCGCCCAAAAAGCAAACATTAGCAAACACATGAAAGTGCACACTGGAGAGAAACTGCACACTTGTGATCAGTGTGGAAAGAGTTTTTCACAAAAAGGAAACCTTAAAGAGCACTTTAAAATCCACACTGAAGAGAAGATGCACACATGTGATCAGTGTGGGAAGAGTTTCAGACATAAAGGAAACCTTAAGAAACACATGAAAAGCCATATTGTGGAGAAGCCGCACACATATGATCAGTGCGGGAAGAGTTTGAGTTGTAAAATAAATCTGCGAACTCATTCTAGAGAAAGACGATATAACTCTGACCAGTGCAGTACAAAAAAAGTCAGGGCACATTTCCTGAAGGAGCACCTGAAAGTTCATTCAAAAGAGAAGCCTTACATATGTGATTTATGTGGAAAGAATTTTAGTCAGATGGTTGCATTAAAAATACACCAGAAAAGACACAGCGGAGTGAAGGATCATGTTTGCTCTGAGTGTGGGAAGACTTTTTTTACAGATAGTGACCTGAAAGTGCACAAGACAGTTCACACTACAGAAACGCCTTACAAGTGTTCACACTGTGACAAGAGATTCAAACGGTCAGAAAATCTGAAAATACACGAGAGGATCCACACTGGAGAGAAGCCTTTCACATGTGACCAGTGTGGGAATAGCTTCAGACTAAAAGGAAATCTTAACAAACACATGAAAATCCACACCGGAGAGAAGCCATACACTTGTGATCATTGTGGGAAGAGTTTTGCACGAAAAGGAAATCTTAACAAACACATGAAAATCCACACCGGAGAGAAGCCATACACTTGTGATCAATGTGGGAAGAGTTTTACACAAAAAGCACTCCTTAATGATCACATGACAATCCATACTGGAGAGAAGCCGTACACATGTGATCAGTGTGGGAAGAGTTTCAGAATATCAAGTGTTTTTAAAATGCATCTGCGTACTCATTCTAGTGAAAGACTCTATAACTGTGACCAGTGTGGTAAACATTTCTTTAGGGCAAGTGCCCTAAAGAGGCATCTGAAAGTTCATTCAAGGGAGAAGCCTCATGTGTGTTCTTTGTGTGGAAAGAGTTTTAGTGAGCGGGATGCTTTAAAAATACACCAGAAAAGACACAGCGGTGTGAAGGATCATATTTGCTGTGAGTGTGGGAAGGCTTTTTTTACAGATGCTGAAGTGAAAATGCACCAGAGAATTCACACTACAGAAACACCTTACAAGTGTTCACACTGTGAAAAGACATTCAGACGGTTAGTATATCTTAAAGTACATGAGAGGATCCACACTGGAGAGAAGCCGTATCACTGCCATTCATGTGGCAAGAGTTTCACTCAGTTATCTTCTCTAATCTGTCATAAAAAAAAGATGCACGTCTGAAATTACAGTAAGTAATTTAATAAGTGACTTTTTAATAAACTTTGAGTAAACTGAATTGATCTTCAAGTTTTCTGTCTTCCTCAAAAGTTATCAATACACCAGGTTTGCTTAGGACTGAAACAGAAAAACAAAAGGGCATCTATTTCGGAACACATAGAAGACAAAAATATTAATCTACAAACTATCATTACTCGTATAGAATTACAAATACTATTCAATTATTTATTACAATACAAATAAATATTTTTATATATTCTTCAATAAAATGGATTTCATAGGGCCCTAGTAATCTTGTCTGCCACATCATGAAGCTGTAACAGGAATGGAGACAGCAAGCTGTGGCAAGGATCTAAATGTAGGAGAATTTTAATAAAGAGACAGGAAAACAACAGAGAAAGTTGTGAGAACTCCTAACACCAAACAATGACTGACAAAACACAAGGGCTATATACACAAGGGAAAATAAGCATTCTAACAACCAAACTCCCTAAATTAGGTGTCAGTTGATCCAATTTCATTACAAAATGTGAGACAAAAATTAATTTGGAGATGAAGACATTGTTTTTACAGAGCTACTAAAGGGAATTTTGCAAAAATACACAGATTTATGTGTGCACTTTTTGCGGTCCATTCAGGGGCTCCATGTGTTGTCTTTTGTTCTTGTAAATGATTCCTAAAAAATAAAAACTCTAAACTGCCCATGATGTAAACCAACATTTACTATACTGTGGTTATAGAAAGTCAGACAATATAAAGATTTTTATTATGAAGTCTTTTTCTAAATTAGATTTTTAATAGCATTTTCATGTTGTGATTTTAATTTTTCTGTGAATATAACCTATACTGTATAATAATAATAATTACAACTTTTTTAACTTTTGAAATGTTTATGTTTGTACTTTTGAAAATGTATCTTATATGCAGTGCAAAATTTTTCTGTGAATATAACCTATACTGTATAATAATAATAATTACAACTTTTTTAACTTTTGAAATGTTTATACTTTTGAAAATGTATCTTATATGCAGTGCAAGTTAAGCTAATTATTTAACACTTTAGGCTCATTTTGAGCACAAAATACGTGCTTTCTGTCAATGTATTTGTTTCTGGTGTAATTGTTTAGTTGATGTTTGTTACTAAGCAACTGTATGGAAAAGATGACGTACAGGTCTGAGTGCGTTAAATGCATTCATCATTTTAATGCCTGATTTTTTCCATAATTAACCTCACCTAATTGTAATATATGTATCTTTGATATATACAGAATCACACCATCTTCTTTTGGTCTAAAGCGGGGGTGTCCGCACTAAGCAACTGTATGGAAAAGATGACGTACAGGTCTGAGTGCGTTAAATGCATTCATCATTTTAATGCCTGATTTTTTCCATAATTAACCTCACCTAATTGTAATATATGTATCTATGATATATACAGAATCACACCATCTTCTTTTGGTCTAAAGCGGGGGTGTCCGAACTCGGTCCTGGAGGGCCGGCGTCCTGCAGAGTTTAGCTCCAACCCCAAATAAACACACCTGAAGCACCTAATCAAGGTCTTACTAGGCGTACTAGGAACTTCCCGGCAGGTGTGTTGAGGCAAGTTGGAGCTAAACTCTGCAGGACACCGGCCCTCCAGGACTGAGTTTGGGCAGCACTGGTCTAAAGTAATGACGTATAGGCTATGCATGGTTAAGGCTGATTGGTCAATGCCGTTGTCAACAAAAACTCACCAATTAGAAACCTTTCAGCACACCCTTTTCTATGACCTGCAGCAGCTGTCTCTAAGACAAGAAGTAGTACTTGCATTGCATACAAGAAAGAAATGGTCCAGAAAGAAGACGGTTTGGAAACAGAAAAGAGGATGTATTAATCTTCAGAATGTGTATTTTAATTTTTCTGTGAATATAACCTATACTGTATAATAATAATAATTACAACTTTTTTAACTTTTGAAATGTTTATACTTTTGAAAATGTATCTTATATGCAGTGCAAGTTAAGCTAATTATTTAACACTTTAGGCTCATTTTGAGCACAAAATACGTGCTTTCTGTCAATGTATTTGTTTCTGGTGTAATTGTTTAGTTGATGTTTGTTACTAAGCAACTGTATGGAAAAGATGACGTACAGGTCTGAGTGCGTTAAATGCATTCATCATTTTAATGCCTGATTTTTTCCATAATTAACCTCACCTAATTGTAATATATGTATCTATGATATATACAGAATCACACCATCTTCTTTTGGTCTAAAGCGGGGGTGTCCGAACTCGGTCCTGGAGGGCCGGCGTCCTGCAGAGTTTAGCTCCAACCCCAAATAAACACACCTGAAGCACCTAATCAAGGTCTTACTAGGCGTACTAGGAACTTCCCGGCAGGTGTGTTGAGGCAAGTTGGAGCTAAACTCTGCAGGACACCGGCCCTCCAGGACTGAGTTTGGGCAGCACTGGTCTAAAGTAATGACGTATAGGCTATGCATGGTTAAGGCTGATTGGTCAATGCCGTTGTCAACAAAAACTCACCAATTAGAAACCTTTTAGCACACCCTTTTCTATGACCTGCAGCAGCTGTCTCTAAGACAAGAAGTAGTACTTGCATTGCATACAAGAAAGAAATGGTCCAGAAAGAAGATGGTTTGGAAACAGAAAATAGGATGTATTAATCTTCAGAATGTGTATTAGACATTGTCCATTAAATCAGTCTCTGCATAAAATAGGGAAACATGAAACCGGAAATTGTAACAAACGTGTCAAGCAGAAATAGTAGGACACTAAATGTGATGCTTATGAAAGAATTTAGCTCTTTGGGAATAAATAATTTGTCACTCTAGGTTCCTGTTAGGGGATGGGCCAAAACAGTCTATAATTTATAATGAATTATTTATTTATTTGAAAGAAACAGGACTGATTAATAGAATTTAGCTTTTTTAAAGTCGTTCCCAACCATTATGCGCGCCACACTCCTTTCCAGTAGGTGGCGGGAATGCACCTTTTAAGTTGATCTGCCAACCACCATTAAACTCCAGAAGAAGAAAACAGGAAGTAGTAGTGCCATCACACAGCTTTCAGTCTCCTGAGGTGAGGTAATTGGTATATTTATACAATTATAAAAATACAGCTTTGTTAAAGCAAAATTTTACAGGCTCATTCCTATGTTGGTTAATCTGGTACAGTTCTATTTGTGCGTCTTTTCTGGCGTTTCTTAACTGAAACACACTTTTAGCCTAGCAGTAACGTTAGGGTTGCTAACCTTTCTGAATTGTACAGTATTTAAGACAACAATTTGTTCCGTATACGCAGGCATACGCTGTGTGACCACCCAGACTTCACGAATAACAAACTCTAAATTGAGAATAATTTATTTTTGAACAAATCATTGTTTGTTTTGCGAACATTAGCTGAAGGCGTTAAGACCCAGCAGAATCCTCAGCCGGGTGGTCGCTTCCGCGCCACAGCGAGAGGTTGATGAGGTTTATCATGCGTTGGTGTAGCTGTATTGTGATAAATTCACAAACCCATTTCCTACGTTACTACTACTATTTTTTAGAATTAAATTTATTTTTTTTATTATTAAATTGTACATAAATAGAATAAGCAATACACGTGATTGTGTCTAAGAATCAATTTTGTACACATGCAGACAATGAAATGGCATACACTGTGTGGTACAGTACAAATATTTGTCCCTTATTTTCAATGATGTGAGGAACTATTGTTAAATTAATTAAAACTTGAGCGACTTTCTATGTTGTATGATTGTTTAACAGGGATTTTCATGGCCCTAAATGAGGTGGAGGTGGTCAAATCCTGCTCATGTGCACACACACAGAGGTACCGCATTTCAACTGGCTGAAGAAAACACATTTTACAAGCACATATTTGAGGTATTTAAATAAGATTATTATGATGTTGAAAACAGTGTCATATACAGTTTTGTGAGATTATTATGGGTGGACCACAGTCTCTTTAGGGGGTCGGTCCAGGGGCATGTCCCCCTGGAAGAAAATTTTGTACATTTTAAAGATAAATTAATTAGTCTGGTGCACTTTTACAGCTCCAAAATAAGAGCTATAAACTCGGTCCTGGAGGGCCGGCGTCCTGCAGAGTTTAGCTCCAACCCCAAATAAACACACCTGAAGCACCTAATCAAGCTCTTACTAGGCGTACTAGGAACTTCCCGGCAGGTGTGTTGAGGCAAGTTGGAGCTAAACTCTGCAGGACACCGGCCCTCCAGGACTGAGTTTGGGCAGCACTGGTCTAAAGTAATGACGTATAGGCTATGCATGGTTAAGGCTGATTGGTCAATGCCGTTGTCAACAAAAACTCACCAATTAGAAACCTTTCAGCACACCCTTTTCTATGACCTGCAGCAGCTGTCTCTAAGACAAGAAGTAGTACTTGCATTGCATACAAGAAAGAAATGGTCCAGAAAGAAGATGGTTTGGAAACAGAAAATAGGATGTATTAATCTTCAGAATGTGTATTAGACATTGTCCATTAAATCAGTCTCTGCATAAAATAGGGAAACATGAAACCGGAAATTGTAACAAACGTGTCAAGCAGAAATAGTAGGACACTAAATGTGATGCTTATGAAAGAATTTAGCTCTTTGGGAATAAATAATTTGTCACTCTAGGTTCCTGTAGGATGTATTAATCTTCAGAATGTGTATTAGACATTGTCCATTAAATCAGTCTCTGCATAAAATAGGGAAACATGAAACCGGAAATTGTAACAAACGTGTCAAGCAGAAATAGTAGGACACTAAATGTGATGCTTATGAAAGAATTTAGCTCTTTGGGAATAAATAATTTGTCACTCTAGGTTCCTGTTAGGGGATGGGCCAAAACAGTCTATAATTTATAATGAATTATTTATTTATTTGAAAGAAACAGGACTGATTAATAGAATTTAGCTTTTTTAAAGTCGTTCCCAACCATTATGCGCGCCACACTCCTTTCCAGTAGGTGGCGGGAATGCACCTTTTAAGTTGATCTGCCAACCACCATTAAACTCCAGAAGAAGAAAACAGGAAGTAGTAGTGCCATCACACAGCTTTCAGTCTCCTGAGGTGAGGTAATTGGTATATTTATACAATTATAAAAATACAGCTTTGTTAAAGCAAAATTTTACAGGCTCATTCCTATGTTGGTTAATCTGGTACAGTTCTATTTGTGCGTCTTTTCTGGCGTTTCTTAACTGAAACACACTTTTAGCCTAGCAGTAACGTTAGGGTTGCTAACCTTTCTGAATTGTACAGTATTTAAGACAACAATTTGTTCCGTATACGCAGGCATACGCTGTGTGACCACCCAGACTTCACGAATAACAAACTCTAAATTGAGAATAATTTATTTTTGAACAAATCATTGTTTGTTTTGCGAACATTAGCTGAAGGCGTTAAGACCCAGCAGAATCCTCAGCCGGGTGGTCGCTTCCGCGCCACAGCGAGAGGTTGATGAGGTTTATCATGCGTTGGTGTAGCTGTATTGTGATAAATTCACAAACCCATTTCCTACGTTACTACTACTATTTTTTAGAATTAAATTTATTTTTTTTATTATTAAATTGTACATAAATAGAATAAGCAATACACGTGATTGTGTCTAAGAATCAATTTTGTACACATGCAGACAATGAAATGGCATACACTGTGTGGTACAGTACAAATATTTGTCCCTTATTTTCAATGATGTGAGGAACTATTGTTAAATTAATTAAAACTTGAGCGACTTTCTATGTTGTATGATTGTTTAACAGGGATTTTCATGGCCCTAAATGAGGTGGAGGTGGTCAAATCCTGCTCATGTGCACACACACAGAGGTACCGCATTTCAACTGGCTGAAGAAAACACATTTTACAAGCACATATTTGAGGTATTTAAATAAGATTATTATGATGTTGAAAACAGTGTCATATACAGTTTTGTGAGATTATTATGGGTGGACCACAGTCTCTTTAGGGGGTCGGTCCAGGGGCATGTCCCCCTGGAAGAAAATTTTGTACATTTTAAAGATAAATTAATTAGTCTGGTGCACTTTTACAGCTCCAAAATAAGAGCTATAACCCATGTTCAGTGTGCAAATTGAATGTCGAAAAAGTCTGTGCGTTGACTTGTCCCTTAACTTTAATAGGACTCAACCCTGTATCTGTTGTAGTATCTCAGTCTACATTACATTTGCATTGTACAATACAAAAAATGAATTTAATTAAGCCACATTTTCTCTTGGATCTGTTTTGGGTAAGTTCCTTTGTGTGTTATATAATGGCAACTAGGAGGTGCTCAAGATTTATGTTTTCCCTGAAGAGATATACGCATGTTTGTTGGGTTTTGCCGTGGAAAGAGTACAGTGTCTTTATTAAAATCAACATTAAGTATGTATCTCTCATCCATTAATGATCCACCCGCAATTAACTGGAACATATTTTTAATTACTTGGCCCGCCCGACCTGTGGATATAACCACAGTCCACGCATCACTATTGTGTGCTCTCACAGAATGACCTGAGCCTCCACTCTGTTCCAGACCATCAAGTTTTAGGGCCAGAGCTCTTTACTGGTAGTGATATTGTGAGGGGAATTAATGAGAATCAATCTCAATTTGTTTTCACTAATTCTATGTATTTATATTTTGTCAGTGGTTCAATCTGTTTTTAACATTATTTGTTTTTCACATGAAGAGGCAAATTACGGCTTATTCCTTATGATAACACTGACTGTAAAGTGACTGTAATGGGGTAATCAAAATAGCCTAACACAACTCTGTGCTTTTGTTCTCATTTATTTTCATTTTTAGTTTAGTGAATATAACTTCTGCTTTAAAAGCCTTAGTCAAGTTCTTCCACACTGACTGAATCAATATATTTTTCTTTTTTTTTTATCTTGACTTATACACAGAGGCATTGTCGTGTTAGAATAGAAAAGGGTCCTGTCCAAACTATTGGTATAAAATTAGAAGCATACAATTCCCTAGAATATCATTATATGCTTAAAACATTAAGATTTGTATTAAAGTAGTCAAGCTTGTTCATTAGAAAGGGGTGTCCCAATACTTTGGCAATATAGTGTATGTTTGGTGCGGTAGGGGGCCCAACCTCATATTCTTTCATAGGACCCAAAATTGCTAGCGGAGCCCCTGCTCTCTTGGCAGGTCTAGTCAAGTTCTTCCACACTGACTGAATCAATATATTTTTCTTTTTTTTTTATCTTGACTTATACACAGAGGCATTGTCGTGTTAGAATAGAAAAGGGTCCTGTCCAAACTATTGGTATAAAATTAGAAGCATACAATTCCCTAGAATATCATTATATGCTTAAAACATTAAGATTTGTATTAAAGTAGTCAAGCTTGTTCATTAGAAAGGGGTGTCCCAATACTTTGGCAATATAGTGTATGTTTGGTGCGGTAGGGGGCCCAACCTCATATTCTTTCATAGGACCCAAAATTGCTAGCGGAGCCCCTGCTCTCTTGGCAGGTCTTCCAGCCAGTTCTATCAAACCTTTACAATTAATCCAGAACACGGCAGCAAGATTCATTTTTAATGAACCAAAAAGAACGCATGTCACACCTCTGTTTATCAGTTTGCACTAGCTACCAATAGCTGCAATTCGCATAAAATTCAAGGCATTGATGTTTGCCTACAAAACCACCACTGGCTCTGCACAGTGGTGCACCTAACACTAGCTTTCTAATCGTTTTGTATTCTATCTGTTTTCTTTTTATTTATTATACTATTAACAAAAGCAAAAAAAGGCCTCTAACACTAGCTTGCTCTATTCTTTTTCTATTCTATCGGTTTTCTTTTTATTTATTATATAATTTAAAAAAAACTTGCTACGTGTACTATGTTAAACTAACTGAGACGTGTTATAGCACTTGTATATCATTGCTCTTTTGTTGATTTTGATTGCTTCCATTGTCTTCATTTGTAAGTCGCTTTGGATAAAAGCATCTGCTAAATGTCTAAATGTAAATGTAATGTAAAACAAATTGAATAACTTTACATTTCGATACATGGATGAACACATACAAAATTATTTAAGTGCATGAATTTCTGAAAGCATCAATTTGATTACGGATTTATTTTTGATTTTGGCAGATCTGCTCCTCCAACCACACAGGAATTCACCAACAGTTCAGCCTTTCCCACAACAGTTTATGAAAGAAAGTCAAAAACATGACTGATCCAGAACCCAGCAGAATAAAACGGGAAGATACTGAACAACAAATAGGTTGGTGTATGTTCTTCATTCTTCACTAAGTTTATAAAACTTCAAGCAGTTCATCAGATTCAGTGGTTGCAGTTAGAAAAATCATAAACGCTGTGAAATAAGTTAAAACTGCAGTACAGAAAAGACAGGAAGTTACAGTGGTTAATTTTTTGGGGATTTTTACATTGAGTCGAGGCTCATCTATTCCGCGTGGATAAATATGATGGATTGTGATGTACTGGCATCTGCAGTTGAAGGCATTAACAGTGCATAAGTCACTAATGCCATCAAAACTTGCCCCTCCAAAAAGAGAAGACATACTGTAAAAACTTAAAAGCATATTATGGGCCGGAATTGTCTTCAATTGTTGTTTTAAAAACAATTGTTTAAAAAGAAAGCCAGAGGCGGAACCTGAAGTGAAACGAGGCTTCTGCACGGCTAAGAAGCTAGAGCGGGACCCTGAGCAGCCCCAGCAGCTTTGATGCTCCAAGACCGAGTAGGTTCATTTCCGTCAAGGCTGGACCACCCTCAAACCCCCTCGCTTTGGGTCATGGTTTACAGTTGGGCCAAGGTTTCTATATTGCCTAAAATATCCAGGTTTGGTTTTGTTTTCCTGTTTTGGTAATGGTCTAAAAGTAGTTTGACCAATAACAATAACAGGCATTGTACATAATCGACCAGTCGTGACGTGAGCGAATGTGGGATCTATAGAGACTGGTCAAAGCGATGAACGTGCTTATCAGGTGTGTTCGACTTGAAGCGGCGTTGCGCGTGAGTGATTCATAAGCTTAAAGCAGCCATCTGCTCTGCTCTCTATAGCTCTCATGGTACTTAGATGTCATACAACGATCGATCTGCACAGCGCAGACAGCCAAAACCTGGGCCCGTATTCATGAAAAATCTTAGTGAGTTGCTCCTAGTAACAAAATTTGAAGAAAATTCTTAGAAATGTGGGTGTTTCCTCCTAAAATTAAAGAAAAGATCCTAGTAAACAAAAAATTAATTCAGAAAGCATCTTAACCCTTAAAAGAGGTCTTAAGGACCAAAATTGTTAGCAGTATGGATCAGGACTTTTAAGAGGCTTAAGAGTTTTTTTAGCAGTGGAGAAAATGGACGAAACATGAAGAGGCAGAAGAAATGTTGCACACAATGCATGACAGGGAGTTAATAAGATATGTATGTAGGGATTGTTTGTGACCGATCTTATTAGAGACACGCTAACATCTCTGACACCGCTCAGAAATGCCATAGAGCCAGAAATGGAAGTAATCACTACATTAACTACATTTAACATATTTGGCAACTGGAAAAATGCAGCAGTGATGATTTGGGTCTGTCACAACCTTCTATAAGCAAAGTGATCACACAAACAATTACAGCACTTTTGGAACCTTATTGTGTCGCTGTTCATTTCCTGTCAAATACATTAAAGGGGTCATATGATGCGATTTCAATTTTTCCTTTCTCTTTGGAGTGTTACAAGCTCTTGGTGCATAAAGAAGATCTGTAAAGTTGCAAAGACTAAAGTCTCAAATCCAAAGAGATATTCTTTATCAAAGTTCAGAGTCAGCCACACCTACCTAAAACGGCTCGTTCTAACATGCCCCCACATATCTACATCACTATGTGGGAAGATTTGCATAACGCCACCCAAATGTTCACGCAAAGAAAGAAGGCATAACTTTTATTCTCGCTGTAGTATTGTTGCCACTTTCCACCATGTCCTGAAGACGCTGTGTGCTTCGTTGTGAAAGCGAAACTACTTTGTTTGGTCTTCCAAAAGAGGACGATATCCGCTTCGTCATACCTGGAGCTGATCTGTGCTGGTCGCTGAGGGAATACATCAACTTAGTGCTGTGGATCGCCGGTTCGGCTTTCACCGTGGACGAAGCCCGGGGTCGTCACATGTGCTTGCCGCTCCTTCGTCAAATCCGCCAGCTGCGCCGTTCTCAACTCCGCCGCCTCTGCTCACTCTAGCCCGGTCTCAGCTCACGCTAAGCCGGGGCTTCCGCTAGGCCGCTGTGTGTTTCGTTGTGAAAGTGAAACTACTTTGTTTGGTCTTCCAAAAGAGGACACGACTACAAATCAGTGGTTAAGTTGTATTTACAACACTGGTCCAGAACAGTTTAACCCAAATATCCAGATGTGTGCAGCACATTTTATGGAGGACTGTTTACTGATACTGGGAGAGTAACGTTAGACTAAAATGCCGGCAGTTCTGACTCGCGTAAGTACGTTTTCATTTAAAGGATTTGCCACTGATGTTTCAAACGCGAGTTTTGGGCAGTGTGGAGTAGCACTTGTTGTTTGTAATTTCTCCGATCATAAATGCAGACAGGGTTTTACGCGGCGCGATGCAATGCAACGCAATGCGTAAAAAGACCGTATAAGTCATTAGAATCAGTAATTATGTCCCCACTGGATGCAACAAATGCCTCGTTTGTAATGGGTTTTAATGTTTTTTTTTCTCATCGCTCCGGCCGGGACACGGCATCAACCAAGTAGATATAACTGCAGACCGGAGATCTCCAAAATGGGGCGTGAACTCCAAAAGTGGGCAGAACCTCCAGAATGGGGCGGGGTCTCCTCGCGCAAAGACTTTCACCATTGGCTGTGGCTTCAGCCAATTGTTATTGACTTACATTTCAAAATAAAACTTAATAAATTAAACATTGTTTCTAGTTCATCTAAAATAAAATATGCTATATAAGTAATTATTCTCCGTGAGAGCAGAGCCCAAAGCTCGTGGCCAGTGGTGGACTGGAGTTTGAACCTCTGCGTAATGATATAAACGGGAATCCCCCACGAGCTCTTCCGCGAGCCGTCCCAGCGCAGCGCAGGGGAAAGATTTCTATCGCTTTGTTCTAAGCAACGGGGGCGTCCCGGGGCTCGAAATTCGCAGGGTAGGATGGGGTAGTGACGTTGGGTGTAACTAAAAAGGTGCCATTGTCCGGTGAGATCCGGTTGGGGAGTTACGGAACGATCTCATATTGCATAATCTTATTAAATGCTTATCTCCTGAACTGCAACTTTCTTTACCACGCTATTCAGCGCCAATTCGCCGTGCAGTCAATTTCATTGGTTAAGGTTAGGGTCAGGTGTGGGGTAGGTTTAGGGGTTAGCATTTTTGTAGCATAGTATAGGAAATCAATGCTTTAATTGACAACCAATAAAATCTTTAGAATCAGCTGTGGGGCGGAGTTTGCACTGAAGTGGATTGGGGGGAAAAGTGCGCATGCGTTTCATGTGCCTGTCTGTCAATGGGAGGAAGCCACGCCCTATTTTTTTTCTCATTTTGTCTCTCATAGTTGAGGTATACCTATGATGAAAATTACAGGCCTCTCTCATCTTTTTAAGTGGGAGAACTTGCACAATTGGTGGCTGACTAAATACTTTTTTGCCCCACTGTATAATGTGTGTGTGGTAAAACAGGAAAAATTACTCCTGTAATTTCAAAGTAAAGGCCTTGACAAATGTAAAGGCACGTCTGGTCACCTTAACCTAAGCAAGAGTTATTTGGTCCTTTAAGAAAAAGTGAAGACGTCGAAGATCTTGATGAAGAATAACTTTTATTTTCTTTACCACGCTATTCAGCGCCAATTCGCCGTGCAGTCAATTTCATTGGTTAAGGTTAGGGTCAGGTGTGGGGTAGGTTTAGGGGTTAGCATTTTTGTAGCATAGTATAGGAAATCAATGCTTTAATTGACAACCAATAAAATCTTTAGAATCAGCTGTGGGGCGGAGTTTGCACTGAAGTGGATTGGGGGGAAAAGTGCGCATGCGTTTCATGTGCCTGTCTGTCAATGGGAGGAAGCCACGCCCTATTTTGGAGCTCCCACCCCGTTTTGGAGTTCCCGCCCCCATTTGGAGATCTCCAGGCTGCAGTTATACCCTTCTTGCATCAACAGTATGGTGAGGGGCGTAACATTTCCGGATAGCTGGCCAATCACAGCACACCTCGCTTTTTCAGACCAATGAGCTTTTAAGATCGGAAAGAACTATCTATATGATAATTAAGCTCTTTGTAGGGAAAGAAGCATAGTTTAATACACAATTTGGAGTGGAAGCTGGGTCGAGGCAGACTATAATTTCTTACAGTCCCCAATTTCATTCCTGGGGGTGATTTTTATTTTTTTACACTTTTAATTATATCTGGTTCATAGTTTGTGTAACCATATTTAAAAATTTTGAAAATGTTACAACCCTGACTTGTAAATGTAGTTAATAAAAAACAAAAAACAAATTTTTTTGAATAGTAATATTTTTTAAATAATAATTAGATGATAAATGTACTTAATTCAAATGAATTAATCAATGTTTATACTTTCTACTGTTACCTAAGGGTTCAAATGTCTTTTTCCTTTCACATCTATTTATTTTCTATACTGAAAACATTTTTTAACTGAACTTTTTTACTTTAATTTTAGACCTGAAAGAAGAGAACAAGGAGATTGAAGAACTGACTGAAGTGGAAGAGAAACATCATGTAAAAACTGAAGAAGCATGCTGGAGTCCCTCATTGAAAAGAAGAGATGAAATCTGTTTCACTTGCTCTCAGTGTGGAAAGAGTTTCTCATGCAAGCAAAGTCTTGATGTTCACATAAAATTTCATCTTGAAGGGTTTTCAGATGACCCGAAGGACCACCTGAAAGTTTATACAAAGGAGAAGCCTCATGTATGTAATTTATGTGGAAAGAGTTTTATTCAGATGGGTACATTAAAAAGACACCAGAAAAGACACAGCGGTGAGAAGGATCATGCTTGCCCTGAATGTGGGAAGACTTTTTTTACAGATGGTGCACTGAAAGTGCACCTGATAGTTCACACTAAAGAAACGCCTTACAAGTGTTCACACTGTGACAAGAGATTCAAACGGTCAATATATGTGAAAAGACATGAGAGGATCCACACTGGAGAGAAACCATACTCGTGTGAGCATTGTGGGAAGAGTTTCGGACGAAAAGTACATCTTAACAATCACATGACAATCCACACTGGAGAGAAGCCACACACTTGTGATCAGTGTGGGAGGGGTTTTACACAAAAAGACCTCCTTAATGTTCACATGACAATCCATACTGGAGAGAAGCCGTATACATGTGATCAGTGTGGGAAGAGTTTCAGAATATCAAGTGTTTTTAGAGGTCACCTGCTTATTCATTCTAGTGAAAGACAATATAACTGTGACCAGTGTGGTAAACATTTCTTTAGGACAGGTGCCCTAAATAGGCATCTAAAAGTTCATACAAGGGAGAAGCCTCATGTGTGTTCTTTGTGTGGAAAGAGTTTTAGTGAGCGGGATGCTTTAAAAATACACCAGAAAAGACACAGCGGTGTGAAGGATCATATTTGCTGTGAGTGTGGGAAGGCTTTTTTTACAGATGCTGAAGTGAAAAAGCACAAGGAAACTCACACTACAGAAACACCTTACAAGTGTCCACACTGTGACAAGAAATTCAAACGGTTAGTATATCTTAAAGTACATGAGAGGATCCACACTGGAGAGAAGCCGTATCACTGCCATTCATGTGGCAAGAGTTTCACTCAATTATATTCTCTAACCTATCACAAAAAAAAGATGCATGTCTGAAATTACAGTAAGTAATTTAAATGTTGATCTGTAGTCCCAGGTGTGATGCTGTGTAGAGCCACATCAAGCGATTCTTTTGGTAATCAATTAATCAGAGATTAATTGAGATGAACTGAGATTACAATGATTGACTGATTGCTGATTATTTCAGATTTATCAGTAGCTTTTATTGATTATTCAACTTTTGTAGTTTGTTCAAATGTTATATCCATTCTAACTAATAAATAAAACAAGGAAATCACTTGGAAATGTCTTTTTAGTAAACTGAATTGATCTCCTTCAGGTTTTCTGTCCTGCTCAGAAGTCTTCAATACACCAACTTTGCTTAGAACTGAAACAAAACAAAAACAAAAGGGTATTTATTTCAGAACACATAGGAAACTAAAATGTTTATCTACAAACTATCTTTACTTAAATAGAATTGCACAAACTATTAAATTATTTATTACAGTACAAATATTTTTTTTATAAAAAATTTGTAAATATTGGCACAGCTAGGTAGAACAAAGGGAAGTTAATTTTGATTTAAAAGATCTAATTGGTTGATGATCATTTGTGTATACGTGTAATAATTCCATATGAATCTCCAAAAAGAAATACATAAAAAATTTAATCTTTTTCTTGCTGCCCTAACTTTACGGCCGGCCTAGTTTGCCTATAAGCACGCAGCGGCCCTTCCCTGCCTCTGAAGGCTGTCTCATTTTGAAGAATCCTTGGAAAACAGCCTTAGTTTTGTGTCCTTCATTTATCTCTTGTTGAACTGAAGAAACTGAAAGAAAACGGAGTCGGCACTGAGCTTTTCTGAGTTAATTATAAAACGTAAGACAAAAATGTTTTTGGAGATGAAGGCATACATGTTTTGTTTTGGTGTAACACTAAATATCACTGAATGCCAATAATGTGGCCACTGGGCGACCACATTCAGTTGTCATTCATTGTATTGCATTAATAGAAAGCCAGTTAATGTAAAGATTTTTACATAAAAAAAGTGTTTTTGCAAAATTAAGTTATAATAGAATTAATGGTATTTTCGTGCCATGACCTTGGGGGTGGGACATGCGCACTTACTAAACCAGTGGTTCTCAAACATGTCCTGGAGGACCCCCTAGCCCAGTACAATTTGTATGTCTCCCTTAATCTAAGGCTGATGATACACCGGGCAACTTTTGTTAATGTTGCTGTCAACATGCAGCCAGGTGAGACACAGGGCCCACGACCGATCTAAAGTATCCAGAAAGAAGTTTGTTACCCATTCTCAGTTGGAAAGTGCCCAAGCAACATTGCTACAAAAAAAAAAAAAGTTGCCCCATGTATCATCAGCCTAACACCCCTGATTCAACTCATTAGCTCGTTAGTAGAGAACGCAAGACATTAATTGGGTGTGTCTGGGACACATGCAAAATGTGCAGAGCTAGGGGTCCTCCAAGACAGGTTTGAGAACCCCTAGACCAGGGATCCACTTTCCTGCAGAGTTTAGCTCTAACCCTAATCAAACACACCTGAGCATGCTAATCAATGTCTTCAGGATCATTAGAAAATCACAGGTAGCTGAGTTTGATCAGGGTTGGAGCTAAACTCTGCAGCGCATTGGACCTCCAGGGCAAGATTTGAGGAACCCTGCCCTAGACCATCTCTTAAAGCCCAAAACACACCACACGATTTTAGCAATCCTATAAGATTACTATGTACGACATAGATCTGATAAACTTGGCCAGGACGTGTGTGTAGACTGTAGGATGAGGACACCTATGACTCGTAAGCTATGAGTCCACGGTGCAAGTTACAATAGTAGAATAAAATGTCATCAGCATGCGCTAGTGGTAAACAAAAAGAGCATGATGAATCACATAGCAGTTTTGTTTTTTTCAAAGACAACGGCCGTCTTTGAACATCTCTCACTGTGCGACCACCGATTAGGCGTCACGATCACAGAAATGTACAGGATTGTTTCGCGATGCCAATCTTTTGTCTGGGACAGCCGAAACTCATTTATGTTTAGGGCTTTACAGGAGGACTCTAGCGTCCAGATTTCTGAAATGGAAACCAGGGATATTTTCTAATTCAGTGGTCCAAATATCATTGAAATCTCACTTATCTATGAATAAAAAAAATTAAAAAATTTGTTTTAAAATTGTTGTGGTGTAATGTAAAGTAATGACGTATATGTACGGTTAAGAATGATTGGCCACTGACCAGCGAGAAAGCTTTAGACACGCCCATTTCTCCGACATGCAGCAGCTGTCTCTAAAACAAGAAGAAAAGTAGTCACCGCTAGCGCCATCACACAGCTTTGAGTCTTCTGAGGTGAGATGTTTAGTACATTTTTATACAATTCTAAACCTACAGCTTGTTAAAGCAAGGTTTTACAGGGTCGTTCCGTGTTGTTTTAATCTGGTGCAGTTCTATTTGTGCGTCTTTTCTGGCGTCTGCTGACTGAAATAAACATTTAGCCTAGCAGCAGGGTTGCCAGCCTTTCCAAATAATACGGAATCGTCCCGTATTTAAGACAGCATTTTGTCATGTATACGCAGGCATACGCCGTATGACCACCCAAACAATATGAATAACAAACTCTAAATTGAAATTCAATTTTGGACACCTTATTGCTTGGTTTGCGAACGTTTGCTGAAGGCGTTAAGACCCAGCAGAATCCTGGTCGCTCCCGCATCATAGCGAGAGGTTCATGAGATTTATTAAGATTTATTATGTGGGTGGGCCTGATATAATGATATATGTTGTTGATTATGGTATAGAAAAGGATAAAGCGTATATTATTCAATTACTGGTTGTAATGGGGAAGTTTCATATACACAAAATGAAGTTGTCGTGTGGTAAACCCATTTTTTTATTTTTTCAATTTTATCAACGAATTTAAACAATACTGTAATATGGTATATAAATGTTAAACAACAAAAAAGAAGCTCTCAGGACTTCTAACATTATCTGCAAATTTGAAATAGACAAGTAAACTGTACCGTCTTCATTATTTTAGTTGTTTTATTTATTTATTTTATGTTTTCTTTCTTCCTCTGGCTAATTTTTTTATTTTACTTGTAATCTTGTGTACTGATGGCATTTATGTGCAAAGTTGTATTTCTCTTATTGTTATATATGTTCATATGCAATAAAAAAGAAGATTTTTATAAGCTGTGGTTCAAGTTATGGTGCAATTATAGCTTTGTATAATTATAGCACAATTAAATATAGCACAAAAAGTTAGAAATGAAATAATGCTTTTGGTTTTTATGTTTGTAGGAGTGAAAAATCACATAACATTTGTGTTTTTATTTGTATTCTTTACTCAGATTTTTCATAGCCATTTGAAATTAAGGTCATTGCACACTCGGTCCAAAATTCTTGTCCGAAATCTCAAAAAATAAATACGACCTCACGTTGTGTCAATCATGTTTACTCACTGCCTCCGAAACTTTCGTCCGTCATAAAAAAAAAAAATCGCACCAGGTTCAATTTTCTACGTTTTCGCATCCGTATCAAGCATTTTGATGGGAAATGTTGACGAATACGGAAAAAAAAAACATGTACAAAAATTTCAGATTCCGTGTTCAAGCACCTTTAGAGGCAACCACTGCATTTTTTTAAATCATGAATTGATCCAAAAATAAAAAGTGCAATGTTTGATTTATATTAGACTGTATAATCTCAATAGGGGTTCTCCGATCAGGATTTTTGAGGCCGATCGTCGGTCACAGAAAGCAGTATCTGCCGATACCGATCTTTTTAAAGCCTTCTTTTTTATCATTTATACCCATTTATAGTGATACTCCAATCAGGATTTTTAGACATTTATTCAGGGCCTGAATTTCATTTTTGAAAATGGGGGGGAATTCCCCTCTTAGGTGACTCTTGTGAGAGGGGAAGCAGCACATATGGAATGCCATCTCTGCCATAATTAGAACGAAAGAAAAATAAATGTTCAAAGAAATTTAAAAACGCAAATATAAATAAATAAATATATAAATATGCAAAGAAAAGTAAAAAAGCAAATAATTTTATTTCCTTATTTATTTATTTTTATTTTTTCCACATTTATACATTTATTTATTTTCACATTTATGTATTTATTTACGTATTTATTTCTTTATTCATTTAATTCTACCTTTATTTTCACATTTATTTATTTCTACATTTCTTTGTCCGTAGGGTACCTCAGGAATAGCAATCGAGCCAGAGTAGGCGAGGGGTAAGCTTTGAAGCCACATTGACACCTTGTGGTGCCCAAACGAAGTACAAGAAGTGTAGCCTACATGACGCGCATGTTGATAGTGTGGGGTGAATGATTTAGATGGGCAATATAGCCAAATCGTATATCACAGGTTATCATCAGTTTCACGTGGGGGGAGTTGTTTTCGAAGCGTGTAATCTGTGATCGCGTGCATTTGCTGAAGCTCGCGAAAGCGTGCAATCGCTTTATGCGCACTGTTTTTTCTAGGTTTCACTTTCAACGCATACAACGCATGTTTCAAAGATTTGGGCTAGAAGGAGGCATCAGTTACTGTAGAAGATTTGTCGCCTCGCGCCACTTCCCGTGTGGTCACTGCATCAACTGATTATAATGGGTTCTCTTGGTGTAGACACGGCTTTAGATACGGATTTAGGCTGAAAATATCCAGAATTAGATCAAACAAAAGGTGTCCATGGGAATGGAGCTAGTGAAACACACACGCCATGCATTGTAGTCTAAAACATGTTTAATATTTGCGACTGACACCAACGATTGTATGCGGCTATGCAGTGGAGATGCGTTCACAGTCAAATATCATTCAGGATTAATTTTGAAATTGTCAAATATTTTTCTTGATTACAAGAAAAAAACTATTGTTCTTGTGATTTATTTCTTGTTTTTTTTAAACAAAAAGGCCTTCAGCCTTCCGCGTTGATTGGTCGGACTCATGACTCCCAACAAATCAAATGGGGGGTTGGGCGGAGATTGCTCTAGGCCACAGAGTGGTGAGTTTCGACAGGCTGCATCAGAGCCAAACAACGCGTTTCAAAATTAAATTATTGTATCGGCAAATTGGTTTTGAAAATGGACAATTCAGATAATCATAAAAATGCTTAATATCGGCTCCGATAATCTGCCAGGTCAATAATCAGTCAACCCCAGTGTAAAAGCAGCATAACACTCATTTAAATGCATTATACGGAGACAAGATGAAAAGAAATCGCCATTTTAACTTTTCTAAAAAAAAAAAAAAAAAAGAGCCAGTTTCCCTCAGAAGCACATTAATATAAAATTAAATATTTAGCAACCGTCTTCAGCATCTGGCTCTGTTAATGGCCGTTTATAGACTAAATATAATAACATAATATTTTCACACAAATGGGATTTTGGAAAATGATTGCAGTGCAGTTTGTGTGCAAGCACGGAACAGAAGATAGTCTGAAATAAAACAAAAAATGGTCAGTCGATCTGTGAATCTTTACTCCACTGTATAAATTAAATATAGATTATTCATTGTTAAAGCTACAACGTTACTTGCCAAGACGGGCATTTTGATGCTTTTGTATGTATTTGCCTGTTCAGGTATATTATTTATTTATATATATATATATATATATATATATATATAAAAATAGTGCTCTCAAATGATTACTCGC